GGAAGGGGAAGGGGAGAGGGGGAGGGGAGCGGTGCGGGCCGGGAGGCGTGCGCCCGGCGGCCGGTGGCGGCGGGGGAGCGGGGTCGCCGGCGGCGGCGGGGGTGGGAACCCTAGGGAGGGGAGCTTCCGCGAGAGGGACCGTGATAAATCACGTATAGAAGACTGGAAGGTCCTCTACAGGATATCACCTCTCTCTCTCGGAAAGTAACCATGTCCTAAGATAAAATTCCCCTACTCCAGATGATCGGGCATTGGGAAGTCTCTCGTCATAATTTGCGCCCATTTCCTTTTCGTCGAGAAAGAGTATTTTGGAGTGGTGCAGAAAGATTGATTTGTGTGCAGGAGACCTCTTGGCAAGCCGTTGCAACTTGCATGCGGAGTAATAAGGAACTTAGTTCAATTTGTGTGCAGGAGACCTCTCAGCTCCAAGTAGTACCCATGTCTTCTTCCTGAGATAAAATCCCCTTCTCCGCAGGCACTGGGCAACATCTGAAACTCGCCGCCAGTTTCCGCACTGCAGCAGGCTTCTCAAGGTAATCAACCATAGTTTCTCTTTATTCCAAGACCTGCTTCTTGATCCAGACTGGCATCTTTGATCGAAATTAATCCCATGTGAATAGGAATTCTGACAACTCTGCTTCATGCCGATGTTTTCCTACGGGAGTATCACTGATTCAAACGAACTACATAGGCGTTTTCGTGGATTCTGTTATTTAGATTTTCTTTCCCCCTAAATTAATCCCATGTGAATTGTCGCTATGGATAATCTTACATGCTGTTCCAAACGAAACTAGCTAGGATGCAACCAAACAATTTCTATGACATATTCATAGGTTTTAATTCCTATGAGATTTCAAACAACTTATGTCTTGTAGATAAATTTAAAATCTCGCCTACTATCAAGTTGACATGTCGAGGAATTATGTTAGGCTAGCATAGTCACCAAATAACTTGACAGAAATCGACGAAACCATCATGGTGGCAAACTCCACCTTGGAGGAAACAACTTCAAGGGGATCGATCACAGTAGCCTCGAGGAAAAGGGCTGTGGGTGTAGGACCTCACTGAACCGCAGATGCATATGGCAATAGACGCCAGTGTAGAGTGAGGGAGGTCAGATCTATGCTACCAGAGGTTCAGAACCGCACTGCTAGAGCTACTACTGCCTAACTAAGGCTGCACAGGGGTGGGAGTGGGACCCTCGCCCAATTCGGCATGTGTGTGTGTGTGTGTTTTCGAAAAAGGAGGATATCCCCGACTTTTGCATAGGACCATGAATGCAGTCATATATCATTAAAAATGCAAAATTTAGCAGTCGAACTACATCGATCCGGAAATAAAGCGGAAAAAACTAAGGTCGCATGTCTCGCGACAGTAACTCCAGCAGATAGCCATTAACCCAATGTTACAAGATACTTCAAAAATAAAAAAATACACAACTCCTAGACCACGCCTTCAAGAAGGAATCGTTGCATGTGCGCCGATGATGGCGAGTCCAACACGAAGTTTAACTCCGGATTCTCATCCTCAAAGCCAAACTTCAATCCACCACCTTTAGCAAGGTCATGACGTACGCACGCGTCGACATACCCCGATCAGAGATCTTGTGGTTTCACGGGAGTGCATAAACTCATCATTGAAGATGTATGTACCATCTGTCATTATCCGTCTACCGACGCCTCGATAGCCAGATACCTCTGGAGAAGACATCGAAAGACACAGACGTCCTATACCATGACACATATGGCACGAAGAGCATAGGAAAACTGTCACTGAGTGTCTCAATGCTGGCTCGGACCATGCCGTGTGGAACTATTTTTTCTCACGATAATTTTTCATTTTGTCATCATTAGAAAATTTATTTTCTTGTACTCTCTCGAAATAGGCTTTCGCCCCGCTTTATAAATAAAGCAACGGTCCATACAATCCATGTTCGAACAACACCCGATAGACAATGGCTGGGGCCACAACACAGTCAAGCCCAAAAAAAGATAAAAGAAATAAGGAAAAAAGCCACCTAGTGGCAGCCATGAAGCAGCACTATGAAGACGATAATCGATGCGCCGAAGCCAAGAGTGCATCCATCATAAGACTGAGTCGATCGCGATCAGGCTGCCTCGAGAGCGGGTGCCAGTGCTGCAGAAAAGCAAGGAATTTGAAGAAGGAGCCAGATGCCTTCCTCGGAAAAACCTTCTCGATCACCATCTTATTCCGAGTCGTCCAAAGAGTCCACGACATCGCCGCAAAAACAAGCCAAAATAGGCGGCGATGTTGCGACTGCTGTAAAGCTCTATGTTGAAGAAACTCCACGAGATTTAAGGCCTCCTAGTCGGGCCCCAATGCCTCACGGACGTAAGTCCATAGTACCCTTGCCGCCGTACAAGAGAAGAGGATATGGGTCCCGGTCTCTGGTACTGCATAGAGAGGGCAAAGACCATCACCAGGTCCATGCCGCTTAAGTACCTCCGTCCCCGAGGGAAGGCAATCCCGTAGTAGTTGCCAAACAAAAATCTTAATTTTAGAGGTATTGGTGATTTCCATAATTTTCTTGTATTCAATGACACAGTTATGAACTCACACATTCTTTTTATGTATGTACAGAAGGTCAACATATGACTGCAGAAATGCGTATATCATTACATGACTTACGTAAGATTACAACTCAATTCTCAGTGGACTCAAGGATAGGAAAGGGTGGGTATGGAGACGTTTACAAGGTATGACTTACTACTTGATATTTTGTGAATTTACAGACACTAACAGACACTAACAAATAAACGACCCAGTTATAAACAAATAATTGTGTACAATGCTTACGTCAAACATAGGGAGTGTACAAAGGAAGAGATGTTGCTGTGAAGTTGCTTCATGTTGATACGGTGCAAGGAATAGATGACCTACAATATCTCAGTGAAGTTGATATCCTTTCGAGGATTAAGCACCCAAATATCATACAGTTCCTTGGTTATAGTTATGAAACAACTTCTGAATTCGTTGAGCACAAGGGTAAGAAAGATTTTAGTAAACACATATATAGAGTCCTCTGCTTTGAGTACTTGCAGGGTGGAAGCCTAGACAAGCGTCTTCCTGGTAAGATGGAACTTACCTTTAATACGTTCATCTTCTTTTGTTTTTGAACTAAACAAAATTCCTAAATTCTCATTTTTGTAGCATTCCCTTTTTCAACTTGTGTAGAAAAATCTTTTGCACCTGATTGGAGCAAACGATATGTGATTATAAAGGGCATTTGTGAAGGATTAGATTTCCTTCACGGGTGTAAACCACCAATTTTTCATCTTGATCTGAAGCCTGCCAATATATTACTAGACAGTGAAATGGTGCCTAAAGTGGCAGATTTTGGATTGTCAAGGTTCTTCAGCGGAGCACGCACTCATGTCACAAAACAAATCAGAGGAACCCAGTACACGCCTTATGGAATTCCTCATTTTCAGTTTATTCTTCTTCTGTGATGAAATAAATGTTATCTGTGATGACCAAGTCCTTTGATATCATGCAGGACGTACATGCCACCAGAATTCATAAATGATGGTGAAATCTCAAATAAGAATGACGTCTTTAGTTTCGGTGTTGTGATGATAGAGATAATGACAGGACCAACAGGTTACTCCAATTCTACTGGAGTGCCTGACGTGGCACAATTAACTCAGGAGGTAAGCAAAAAAACATTTTCAATTTGGCACTTGAGTTCATATATCAAACCACCAAATCATTGATATCTACTCCCTCCGTTTCAAAATAGATGATTCAACTTTGTACTAAAGTTAGTACAAAGTTGGGTCATGTATTCTGGAACGGAGGGAGTATACTCTATGCATTATGTTTCTTTTATTGGAAAGGGAAAATGTTAGGTCTAACAGCCCAATAAACTGGATATCTACTACTATAAGGAATCTATATATATGGAACTGTTGGTCATCAACATAAACAACCAATAGTCTAATTATTCATATAATTAATCTGCTTGTTAGTAGAAAATTCTAGCGTATAAACTACTCGTCGACTACTGAAATGCATATGTATTGAACTAGTGATTCTAAAAAATGAAAAGAAATGCACACGGAGAACCTTTGTTCATCGGACAAATGATACGCACATATTCATATAGTACATATCATACTTCTATAATGTCGATCTCAAATTATATCTCTATATTCATGTTTTCGTAGGTACTTACCAGATGGAGTACAACGATTGAATTGACATCAAAGTACATATCAGAGGAATTACATCAGGTGAAGACATGCATCGGATTAGCAATGCATTGTGTGGATTCTGAAAGAAACAATAGACCCACTGTAGCAGATATCCTAGATGCCCTGAATAAGACAGAAACTCATATTCCCAAGAAACAGGTATTATTTGCATACTTAATGCACACAAAATGGAAGTCCAAGAGTATTTATTTACATTTTTACAGAAGATTACTGTTTCGATACATGTATTAGCAGTTGTAGAGTTTGCACCTCGAAATAGGCTTTCGTACCTCGAAATAAGCATAACCAGATTGTTCTTTGGTAATGATGTTTTTGTTGATCTTTCCATGTATTAAACATAAAAAGTTGTTGCAGTTGACAGACGTTCTCCCATGTCCGATGGTTGGTTCCAATAATACAATGTCTAATACGTTGAAGGAGATGGCAGCTGAACTGGACAATATAACAAATCAAAACCGGCATTCCATTTGTATGCCAGACAATAGCTCTAGTGTAAAACAAGTTCCTGACATACGAGAAACAATTTCGGATGTGGAGGAAGGACTGATCATTGGCAGGACTGAAGAAATATTGGAAATAGTGGCTACTTTATGTGGGAGCATCACACTAGATAACAAGGTCACCATCCTTCCAATATATGGCATTGGAGGAGTTGGCAAGACAACCCTAGCTCAGTTAGTTTTCAATGATTCTCAATTCGCAGGCTACTCTCGGGCATGGATCTATGTGTCCCAAAATCTCGATTTGAATAAAATTGGCAATTCTATTATATCACAGCTATCAGAGGAGAGCCATATAACTAACAAGCAGATGATATATAAGAAGCTGAGCGGGTTATTTGCTGGTAAGAAGATTCTTATTGTCTTAGATGACGTGTGGGAGACAAATCCACGTAGTCTAAAGGATTTGAAGTCCATGCTAAGACCTGCTGTGGGTAGCATGCTGACAGTTATTGTAACCACAAGAGATGAAGCCATTGCAAGGGAAATTTGCCATACAGTTGGGCCATACAAGCTAGAGACGTTAACAAATAATAGTTGCTGGAAAATAATAAAGCAGAAAACTGCCTTTAAAGACCGAGTCGACAAAAAACAGTTGAAGCATATAGGAAAGGAGATTGCAAACAAGTGTGGAGGTGTGGCTTTGGCGGCTCAATCACTGGGATACACACTGAAGGGGAAGATGTCTGATGAATGGGAATCAGTGAGAGACAATTATATATGGAATCTATCTAGTTCGGAGGACCCATCATCAACAGACCATGAAGTGCTTGCATCCTTGCTGCTAAGCTATAGCCGTATGCCTGATTGGTTGAAGTTATGCTTTTCCTATTGTGCAGTCTTTCCAAAAGGTCACAGTATAGTGAAGTATGATCTAATTTACCAATGGATTGCACTTGGATTCACAGAGCAATCTGATGTATTTGATTCTATGCAGCTCTGCGAGAATAATGTTGCACAACTCTTGGGGATGTCCTTCCTTCAATATTCAAAGACACAACCTTCGGTGAGTTATTACATTGCTATGCTACTATTCTTTTCAAACTTATAAATTCCCACTCAGATGTGTACATATATATTCAAGATGACGCAGACCAAAAACATTATAGTGCACACGCCCATGTTGCAATTTTTCTTGGGAAGTTCAGAAATATGTATGTTGAACAAATGTATGATACTATGCTCACTAAAAAAATGTGAATAATTGTACAAAAAAGATAAATTTTGGCACACGTTATTTCTCCATTTTTTTACCAAATTTTGTCTCCTGCAGATAGCAAATATAAATACTCCCTCAGTTCCTAAATAAAAGTCTTTTTAGAGATTCCAATGCGGACTACATATGGAGCAAAATGAGTGAATCTATAGTCTAAAATATGTCTACATACATCCGTATGTACTTCTTATTGAAATATCTTTAAAGACTTATATCTAGGAACGGAGGGAGTAGTTTTTTACTAGTGCTCATACCAATATTTTAAATGGCGGGGTATGAAAAATAGCGGCGGACCTCCAAATCGGCTATAGCGAGCTATTTGTGAAGACGACCATTTAGCGACACCCTGCTGAAAAGGCTATAGCGGGCTATAGCAGACTTATATTTAAAACTATGGCTCATACTCTAATACATCACACACATGCGAAATTTATTTTTCGAAATATGCAACTGCAAGTAGTTGTAATTTGTATAGGCCCGTTAGTGCCAAATACATATTTGCACTTGAAACCCTCTTACAAAATGAAGGAATCATAAATTTGAGGGACAAGAGTTGAGGGAGCCCCAAGTCAGCGCTGCAGGCGCCAGTTAACGAACTGGCGCTTGCACTGTCGCTGGCATGGGCCGGTCCACGAGCGCGCTCCTTCGTTCGCTCGGGAAACGAACGCGGTCGCTGAGTTATATCCCTAGCTTAGCTGGATCCGCCGCTTGCTCGGCCACTCCCTAGCAGCCAGTTTTTTTCCTTTTTTAGCTGAAAAACCACCCAGTTTTCCTCTTTCTTATGAAAAAAAAACAGGTTTACAGATGTAAATACAAAGTTCATCCATTTGAAAAAAAGTTTATCTCTTTAAAAAAGGTTCATAGATTTTGGGAAAAGGTTCATCTATTTTGAAAAAAGTTCATCGAATTATAAAAAGAGTTCATCGGATTTGAAAAAAGTTCATCGATTCTGAAAAAAGTTCATCGAATTATAAAAAAGTTCATCGGATTTGAAAAAAGTTTATTGATTTTGAAAAAAGTCCATGGGTTTTGAAAAAAGTTCATCGATTTTTCAAAACAGTTCATCAAATTTCAAAAAAGTTCATCAAAATTCAAAAAAGTTCATGGATTTTGAAAAAAGGTTCATCGATTCAAAAAAAAGTTTTAGAAATTCAAAAAAAGTTCATTGATTTGAAAACAAAATTCACGTATTTGAAGACAATTCATCGGTTAAGGAAAAAAATAAGAAAAAGAACAAAAACAGAAAACCAAAAAAGGAAAAAAAAGAAAAAAACGAAAACGAAACAAAAGGAAAAAGTGTCGAATAAAGGAATAGCAACCTTAGATTGTTAGCACGATCGCACTTGTTGGTGAGGTTGTTACACCAGCCACCTGTTGAGGAGAAGGTCGCAGGTTCGAGTCCTTTACGCCGCGGCCTTTTTTACCTTTTTTAACAGAAAAAGGAGTAGCAACTGGGCCGAGCCCAACCAGCCGCGCCTGCAGGCGCCGGTTAGCAGAAAACCAAAGAAACCGGCGCCTGCAGCGCCAAATAGGTTTTGCCAAGAGTTGAAGCCAATTAGATCTTGACTACGGACTGCCATGTGAGTAATGGCGGGGTGTATTGGGGACCATACCGGGCCATGGCCCACTATTTTCAAGATAAACTCCGATTATGCCAAGGCATTTGGCACATCAAACTTTTATATGTCGTGGCCCATCGGATATGTAAGGCTTCATTGACCCGTCCTAACTGTTGGGCTAGTGAATTGGCCCTCCTTTATTTCCCTGTCACGCTCCGCCTCTGTGAGTGAGTGCAGTGGTTGCAAAAAATACCAATCGAATTATGATTAATCTTAGCTAATCAATGACATAATCTATAGGATGACTGCACCCTTCCCTGGACCCTGCACAAGCGAGAGCTACATGCACTGGGGGGTGGCCCACTCATTTCTGGACAGTCCGCCGGAGACCTTATGCCCACGGTGCTCGCTACTAGTGATTGAAGAGTTCGTCAAGTCCATCCTTGGGATTTAACTTTGACCTTCTTCTTGCATATAACTAATCAATGATCTCCGATCCACAACTTTTTTTGATAGAAAACAGTAGGATAAATCCTACTGCATATATTTTTGTTTTTACTATATGGAATTGTTCTTACAAATGTAAAAAAGGAAAACAGACAAAACAAATCAAAAGGGAAACAAGGTTTCCCTGAGGAGGGGAAACACAAGTCAGCTAAAAAGATTATCTATCCATGGGTCTATCTGAAATAAGGACCCATGATTCATAAGCGTGATAAGATTTTCTCTTTTCTCTATGAACGATCCAGTCGAGCTCTTCTTTCAGCTTCCTACTGCAAGAATAAAGATTTGGCTGGATCCCTTTGAAAATAGAGTCGTTTCTGGTAAGCCAGATAGCCCAGGAGATGGGAATAAAAATCTGAAGATAAAAAGGCACTTGCATCTCAACTCTGAAGATGTCAATCACAACTTCAGCCACTACATGATCTTTTGAGAACTTATCCAGTCATACCAGGTTTAATTGTGACTATACTCACAACATCAAAATACGTAGTATTTCAAATTAATGGTCATGGGAATATACCCATATGGAGGCACTTCCATTGATATACTATCTGTTTACACTTTTTTAACAGTTTTATTGTAGTAGCTCTACCGATAAATTTTCTACTATAAAACAAAATAAATTCGAAATTCTAACACCGTTAGGTGTTCTTTTGTTGCAGGGTGACAGAAACCGAGACAATTGTGTTGCATTCACGATGCATGACCTAGTGCATGATCTCGCAAAAGAGATCTTGTCCCATCAAATTAGCGCTGGGGGAAACAAACGTCGATATGCATTGCTCACAGATTGTAGCAAGTCAATGCAATTGTTCGTAAATTTTCCTGCAAATCTAAAGGCTCTACATTTTAGGGACTGTGGCAAACAGGAACTTTGTGGTGATGCATTTTCACCAGCTAAGTGCCTTCGTGTCTTGGATTTAAGTGAATGCTTTATTCAGAAGTTACCTGATTCTATTGGTCAACTAAAACAATTGAGGTTTCTTGATGCTCCACGGATACAAGATAAGATGATTCCCAGCTGTATCACCCAGCTCTCAGAATTAAATTATCTCAACCTTAGAGGTTCTCGTAATATCTCAGCATTGCCAGAGTCAATTGGTGCTATGAGAGGTCTGATGCATCTTGATTTATCACATTGTGATGGAATACATAAACTCCCAATATCATTCGCAGAGCTGAAGCAGCTCGTGCATCTCGATTTACCACATTGCAGCATTTCTATATTAGAAGTTTTGGGTGGTTTTACCAAACTTCAACATCTCAAATTATCAATTATTTCT